ATATATCATGATTATTACTGTATGTTAATATTTCTTTAAATTGTTTGATTGAAACGTCCAATGATTGCTGACATTCTTGTGCGCAACTGCGCATGACTTGAGACTATAACGTTTGCGGCACACAAATGCAGCAGGACCCAGGTCAGATGTGATGTGGAGCCTCTAGCTCAACTATGTATTAAAAAATGTCTGCCTTATCATCCATAATTCAGTTTGCATATAAGAGCCACACAGAATTTGTGTGCAGTAATGTTATGTAAAAGAGCACTTAGTGATTGTAATAATTGTAAGTCATAATTATAATAAAATTGCCTTTACACCACTCTGTGGCCTTTTTACCATTACAGTGTACATGATTCCATGGTATATTTGGTTTACTGTTTGAGTATGGTGCCAATTATATTGTTACCACCAAATATTTTACATATTCTTGAAGATATCTTTAAGTCTGGTTTGAGACCCAACCTTAGGTTATCCAACCTCTCTGGTCTCGACTCGGAGTTGACTCTCATTGGTCTCGGTCTCGACTCGGACTCAACTCTCTTTGGTCTCGGTTTCGACTCGGACTCGACCCCCTATGGTCTCGGTCCCGTCTCGGACTCGAGTGAGCTGGTCTCGACTACAACACTGCCTAGTTGCTAAGGAGACATGCTGATGGAAGCTTGGCAGAACGTCAGTTAGTTTCGCCTGATCCCCTGCTACAATGAAAAAAAGCCTCTAGATGCTTATTCTGGAGATCACAGATGTGGTCATGAAGCTCCCTGAGTGCTGTGCTAACGTTAGCACTCGGGGGAATGTAAACAGCTTCAATATGCACAAATGTAAACTCCCGGGCAAATAAAACGGCTAGAATTTTACTGATAGGTGTTCCATAGATTCCGAACAGTGTCTGCTCACCTGACTACAGTTTGTACACCAACCTTTATTGATGTAAAAACACGGCCCCCCTTCTTGAGATTTACCTGAGAGATGGTTACGGTCAGCTCGGAAAAGAAGTAGCCCATCGATCTGGTAAGCTGAGTCCGGCATCTTGTTGTTAAGCCATGTTTCCATCATTGCACAACAGTTCTACATTTCCATGAAACTGCTTAGTCGGAGTCTGTTGCTAGACTTTAATCTAGCTAGCAAGCCAGCCTGCTTACCTCACTTCTGCATCCGTGCACACCGCTTCCGCTTTCCCCTCAGGTATGACCTGCTCCTCCAGAATGCTGTCCTCAAGAGTGCCCAACTTTGCTTTTAACTAATTGGTTTAACCACCATGCTGGGAACAGCAAGTTGAAGAAGGTCAGTCAAACTGTACCTAACTATACCTAATTTATTAAATAACGTTACGCCAATTGCCGGTAGCTGAAAAGCCCCTGCACTGCTGCACACCACCATTTTGTTTTTTTATCAGAAGGACATATTTTCTGGTTCTACATGCTCAGAGTCCTTACATTAGCTTTCTGTATGAGCTTCAGCTGTCTTATGGTCTTTTGGGAAGTCCAGTGTGGAGTCCATTAAAATAGTCTACACTACTTGTGATCAAAGCATGAATAACTTTCTGTAAATGTTGACTGGAAACAAAACATATCATTCCTGCACTGTATTTGAGATGGTAATATGCTGATTTTGTTATTGCTTTGACATGACTACTGAAAATAAGGGTTCCTGACTTGATGTTTTGTTTTAGACCCCATTGTATCAAGGTATATTTCTCTCCAAATGCAATGACTTCAGTTTTATCTTTGTTTAACTAAAGAAAGGTTTGGCACATCCAGCTGTTCATTTCATTAGTCATTAGGCGATAGGGCTAGGTAGATCTGGGTGTCTGATCTTTATAGCTGTGGTAAGCAATTTGGTTCTTTCTGATTATTTGGGTCAGTGGGACAGCTGAACATGAGTAGTGCAAGAATTGAGCCTTGTGAGACTCTGCATGTCATTGATGTCCACCTGTGTTCACATTAGGGATGGGACGATAACCGGTTTCACTATAAACCATGATGAAATGTACTGACAGTTAGTATTATTGTTCAAAATTTCATTTTCATTGTTTGATTATCGCTATTTTAATAACTCACTTCAAATCATGTCCACAGGAAAACAGCTTAAAGATATTCAGAAATGGCATAGTTACAATTGGCATAGTTAATTAAAAAGAAAATTACATATCAGTCCCAGACATTGTTGAATATATGGAGAATCAATTGTGATACAAAAGAGATATTATTTGTGATTTTTCTTTCCTATTGGTTTGTTTTTTTTCTTTGTCAAATCCAGAACAGACCTAACCTAAAACCCACCATACAGCCAAGATCGCTTACTGAGCTCTTAATTGAATACATTAGCCTCAGAAATCCATTCAGACCTCTGTCCATCTTAAAAACCATCACACTGACAGGGTCTGGTTGGCTCCATTGTGGGAACCATTAAGATGGCTTGACAAGATCTCCATGAGCATATTTATCTGTATGTATTTATCTGTATTTCTGATATGAACCATCCAGTTGCTTCCTTTATTTTTTAGCAGTGTTTTATTGTACAGGCATGCTGCAGGGTTGTGAGAAATGTGTTCTTTTCAGCAGAATACAAAAGACTCACAGGGTGCTAGAATAAAGCTTTTGTATTGTGATCCATCAGAAAAGCCCAGAGAAACACTGTCGTTGTGCTTATAGTCTTTTGACTGCAGAAGGTTTTAAGGTCCTTACACTGCTGACTTTTCTGTACTTAAAACTGTTAAATCCAACCTGAGTCCGAATGACTTAGGAGTTCCCCAAGGGTCAGTTCTAGGACCGTTGTTGTTTTCGATGTATATAAATGATCTCCCAGATTGTTGTCAGGGTGTAAACTGTCAGCTTTATGCTGACGACACTGTTATCCATGTGTCAGCAAAAACAACTGCAGTGGTTGGGCAGCAGTTAACACAGGCTTTACATAACATCTCGAAATGGCTTCAACTGTCCCATTTAACTTTAAATGTTCATAAAACCTTTACCATGTGTTTTTCTGTCAATCGGAGGTCCCCTGACAGCATCCTTGAAGTTCATTTAGATCATGAACCCATCTCTGAGGTTCATGAAATGAAATACTTGGGCATTATCTTGGACAGACACCTGAACTTTCAAAGTCATGTAAACCATATTTGTAGGAAAGTCAAATCAAATCTAAACTGCTTTCGTTTTATTAGAAGAGAGTTGCCACATCATGCGGTTTTATTGTTTATGCATGCATGCAATGGTTTTTTCACATTTTTCATATTGTATCACAGCATGGTCACAGACATCAGCTACCACTCTGAAACCAGTCATCTCTCTATAGACCCCTTTTGCACCGACGTCACAGTTACGTCACGGTGCTAGCTGGTGGCAAAACAAAGTGTAATCTGGAGGCGGCCAATACAAAACAGCACAGATTTGGCTACATAATAAGGAGCTTAAATAATTGTTACTATTATTAAATGTCAACTTGTTGTGTTGTTTGGTGCAAGAATTGATAAAAAAATGAATATGCTGTATCTGGAACTTTTATTTCTAGAAAATATTCACATCATTAAAATCGCACGTAATGTCACTCTTTACATTGTCGTGGTCTTGGCGCTGGCTCGGCAGAACTGCGGATCGGACACACAAGTCTTGTACAGGACCATATAGGCATCTAAAGATTTATATGCCCTCAGTTTCTATTTACGATCGGTTTCTCTATAAGGTAACGTTAGGTGTAGAACAAGTCAGGCCACTCAACCGAGGTAACGTACGTTAATCCTGTCAGATCGTCCATGCATTGAGTGAGCGTGTAGGCGGCTACAGGTCGGCCAATCTGGTTCCGTCCGTTAAAAATAACTTTTGGAAATAACAATCGCCGTCCTGGACAGTAAGTGACCTTACACATTAAGATAATATCGGATTTTCTCCAGTCATTTTTAAAAAACAAGCTAACAATCCTTGCTAACTAGCGTTAGTAAAGCGGCCAGAGGGATCTTTCTGCCTCCACCTAAGCTCCGCCCACAAAAAAACGTCACCATGTTTACCAACTGTAAAAGGGTCTATACAAACAGGCAATTAAGATATTTGACAAAAAACCCATGATATATCATCATGTTATACAAAAGCATAAGCTTTTTACTTTCGAAAATTTTGTACATTTTAGTATTTTGAAATTGACTTTTAAATGTTTGTACAACTGTGTGTCACCACTGTTCTCTGGCTTCATAGAGAGGCGTCAGAGCTCTTTAAGACCTTCCACCAGAGCATCAGTTAGTGGGGATTGTGTGCTACCGAAGTTAAGAAAATCTTTTGGTCAGTCTAGCTTCTCCTTCAGAGGGGCTAGACTATGGAATTCTCTCCCAATTGGACTCAAACTGCAGAAGAATATTAACATCTTTACCAGAGACCTTAAACAGTGGCTGAAATCGGGCCAAAGTTGTTCCCATGTCTAATTGATTTTCTAATTGTTTTTATCTGTACTAAAAGCCCCTATGGACAGGTGTTGAAAATTAGCACATGTGCTATTACACTTTAAACAATGCATCTGGTTCGTCCAATGTTATTGTTATGTCCATATTAAATAAATGAATAAATAAATAAAATAAAAATACTTTGTGTGTATTAGCAACTTTCTGCAAACTACTATGTTCTTCTGACTTAAAGTTGGTGAAGGTGATGTTGGAAAGCATCTGTAAATCAAACCTGACATAAGTGACATAATCACAGAATGTAAACTGTTATCTCTAAAAAAAAGTTGGATATACTTACATTATATATCTGCATACATACAGTATGCTTGGATAACTGTTTGATTTATTGTATCATCACAAAATGTAAACCATATTAAACTGTAAATATATTAAGATATTATAAATATTAATAGAATGATTTTCTGGAAAGCTGGTTTCAAACAATGTGTATTGTGAAATGCATTATACACATAGTCTAACTTGGCGTACTTCTGCTTTGAGTCTTTTAGAGGCCTCTGACATCCATCTTAAGCCTTGTTCTCATCCACAATTTCTTCTCTTTCATCAGTGACCTCATAAAGGGAGCGCTTTCTCTTTCAAAATGATGCTGCATAAGGTGATTAAGAAGCAAACGGTTTTATATCAATTTGTTTTTAAGTAGATTTCCTATTTGTTCAAAATAAAATAAGATAATTAATAATCATAAAACAAGTAAAAAGATTAATGAAATGTTTGACCTTTGACCTGTGTGTGTGTGTGTGTGTGTGTGTGTGTGAACAGCAATCGGCCAGTACCTCCCCGGGCACTGTTTGTTCTCTACGTGCAGGAGGTGGTCCTGGAACCCCAGCAGTCACTATAGTGGTATGTAGAGCAGTGCATGCTGAGATATAATTCTCTGCACACTTTCCAGATGTTACTGCATAGGCCTACTGTAAGAATAAACATAACAAGGGCAACACATAACTGGTGCAACAACTAATGAAGTTCTTTCAAAGAAAAAATAGTATCTTTATGGGTGCATCTCAATCAGCTCCTTAGTTTAGTAGTCAGGGCACTGATCAGGGAGTTGGCCATTTTAACTCTCTGGTGCTCTTCAGTTATAAACGAAAGTTTTTGAACGAAAACCTTTATATTTAGATTTTTTACTTCATTGGAATAGTACAAAACTTGGAAAAGGTTTTGGCACTGCTGTGTGAACAGAAAAAAAAATTCATGTACATGATGTACATTAAATGGTCCTACAAAAAAATAGTCTCGCTTGTAGTCCTTACAGTCAAAAATGGCCGCATTAAAAATCTATGGAAAACCAAATTTAGTTTGGTACTAAACGTTTGATATAATCTTACTGAAGCTGTACTAAAGGTGTACTAAGCTGTAGTATTTTTGTGCATTTTTCATAACAATAAATTTAAACTTCTATAATTTTATTTGTTCACTTTTTATAACTTTACTTCAGCTGTCATGGTGTAGCTGTGGTAAAGTCATGACGACAGAGATTTAAATTAGCTCTCAGATTTCATCAAAAATATCTTAATTTGTGTTCCAAAGATGAACGAAAGTCTCACGGGGTTGGAACAACATGAGGGTGAGTAATTACTGACAGAATTTAAATTTTTAGGTGAACTAACTCTTTAACTTTAAGCATTAACAGAATTTAACTGCAATACTCAAAAACACAGAAGAAGTTAACTTTAACAACAAAAGCGAACAAAGATTTGGGAGAGCTGGGGGTTTAAATACATAAGGGAGGATAATCAACAGAACAGGGAACAGTGTACGTATCCTAATTAACAACCAGCAAAACTAATAATGACTGGGAACACAGGCAACACCAAAACACAATAAAACTAAACAACTAAATCAAACTAAAATATAGTACATTTATTTCACTTGGCACAAAACAAATATCATGCAAGTCATCTTATAACACATAATGACATGCAATGGATGTTTTGAAAAACAAACCATTATTTAATTGCATTTCAGCATGTACATACATTGCTATTCAGGTAGGACTTAACATAATACAGCTATTATTTCAAATTAATTTATGGCTGAAATGTTGGAAAATGTAAGAATCAAAGCATTTATCCTAATCAATGTCCTTTAAATAACATTAAAAAAAATATTTGTTAGAAAAATATCAGTTCTGCTATTCATTCATAAGTTCCAGTAGTAGCGTTATACAATAAGGATGTTGACCTGTCATCATCAGTGACCCAATATGAAGTGAGCCAAGGTTTTTACTGTCCTTACCAGTGCCTAATTCTTGTACACAATATGATTCACCTAGGGAGCTAGGGAGCTGATTGAGTTATACTGTACCTTATGTCTATGAGGTTGTCAATAATTTACCCTATTTCTTTCATATTTTGGATTTCTACAGGCCAAAATGGACAATCAAGTGATTGGGTATAAGGATCTAGCAGCTATACCTAAAGACAAGGCCATTCTAGACATCGAGAGGCCTGACCTGATGATGTATGAGCCCCACTTCAGCTATTCACCAATGGATCGCTCAGAGGTATGTATACCTGTTCAATTGCTTGTTAATGCAAATATCTAATCAGCCAATTACATGGCAGCAACTCAACATGACACTCAATGCATTTAGGCATGTAGACATGGTCAAGATGATCTGCTAAAGCTTTAGAGTATCAGAATGGGGAAAAAGGTGATTTATGTGACTTTGAATGTGGCATGGTTGTTGGTGGCAGACGGGCTGGTCTGAGTATTTTAGAAACTGCTGATCTACTGGGATTTTCTTGGCACAATTTGGGCCCCTTACATGTTTGTCTGTCAGCATGTGTGATGTGTTTGCTGGTTAGTTTCCTGATAGATGAGGTGTCTCGGTCTCCCCATCAGAGTGCCTGGACAGAGATCAGAACACACACACACACACACGTCATGTTAATTCGGCTCTCCCACAGTAATTTCCTTTTTGTTTCGCTGTGATGGAAGCTTTACGCTTCATTAACTCTGTAAACCTGTCTGTGGAAATGCCTATATATCTCACTTACTGCCAACAACTGACTCTCTCTCTCTCTCTCTCTCTCTCTCTCTCTCTCTCTCTCCCCCTCTCTCTCTCTCTCTCTCTCTCTCTCTCTCTCTCTCTCTCTCTCTTCTCTCTCTAGAGGTCATTATCTCCTCGCTCTATCTCCCCTCCTCCATCTCCAGAGGTAAGTTATGTAGTGCATCTCTGTGTGTGAGGTTAAAAATCACAAATAAGTCATATGCAGTCTAATATCTGTCAACTGAATGACAAGTTTATATGCTGTTTATATTTTAGCAGCACTCTTGCTATGAGGCTTGTCCAATCAGATTACAATTGTTGTGTAATGAAAACAGGGTGATTCACAAATAACAGACATTTAGGTTACAAATTATGTAGACTACTGTTCAAAAGTTTGGAGTCGGTGAGATTTTTAAATGTTTTTGAAAGACATTTAAAAAAAAATTTGTCACTTACGCTCACCAAGGCTGCATTTATTTAATCAGAAATACAGTAATAACAGTAGCTAATATTATGAAATAGTATTATAATTTAAAAAAAACTTATTTATTCATGTGATGGCAAAGCTGAATTTTCCAGTAGCACCTCATTACAGTACACAAGATCCAGGGGGCGGAGTCGGATCCAGGTCTGAGGGATGGAGTTGGGTAGGTTTAGGGGTGGGTTTAGGGATCAGGGGGGTGGAGCTGGGTAGGTTTAGGTATATGTAAGGTGGGAGGAGTTGGATCTGGAGCTGACTCCTCCCCGTGAATTTCATGTTCTGCAGTGAGGACCATCTAGAATTTTTGGCAGCCATTAATCCAGTCTTCAGTGTCACATGAAATGTCCTAATAATATCCTATATTTATCCTATAAATACCTATATTGATCCTATAAATATCCTAATATTCTGATGAAAAAAGTTTCTGCTGTTTAATATTTTTTTGTGGAAACGGTAATACTTTTTTCAGGATTATTTGATAAATAGAAATTAATAAAAGAGCATTTATTTGAGGAAATCGTTTAACATTTTAAATGTCTTACTGACACTTTTGATCAATTTAGTATCCTTTCTGAATAAAAGTATTAATTTATTTTAAAGAATATTAAATATTCATGTAAATATTGCACCAAAATGATTGTGTAAATGTAAAACTCAATTGATTAATTTAAATAGTCTTATAATAATTTTGTGACAAATTAATTTGTACATTTTTAAAAGTATCTCAATTAACATGAGTTTGTGTTTTCTGTATAATATATAATAATTATTCAATAATTAGAAAAATGCTGTTTTAAATACAGTAGCTTTAGTTCGAATTCAGCCCGCAAGAACACTGTCACCACTTGGCTACATATAATGTATATTGTATTTTTTATTACCTTGAAAATTTTGAACATGCTCAAGGTGTTGCTAAATATGTTTACCACACATTTAAATCAAACAAAACATGAAATGAAAAAAAGTTTTTGAAGGAACACTGATAACATCTGATTTGTTCTTTTTAAAAACTCAATACTGAAGCAACAAACCACCATTGCAGCAGATATTTGACCATGGTCAAAGATCAAACTATTTTATGATCTGCTTTAAAATCTCTTTGCATGATTCTTAATCACACCTTCCTTCTACGTGTAATTGTAGAACAGTCTATCAAAGGACATGCGGGATTGGTCAGAGCCAAAGTCATCGGGCAGCTCCTCTCCTGCCTCAACGCAGCTGAGTAAAAGCATCACCGTCAGCACTAAAGTCCCACATCAGCAACAGCACTTCCACAGGCCAGGTTTGGTACTACAGCCCCTAACAAACAGCAATAAAACCTCAGGGAAGATCACAAACTAAAACTAAACAACCATAATTTTTTCTTCCAGACAACGGAAGCAACATGTTCAAGAAGCCTCCTATATATAAACAAGGTATGAAATATCTGTTCTGCTCTTATGTCAGATTCACTGTAAATGATTTTCTTAAGCATATTGAGTATATGTATGTGTATTTGAATGGATGTAGATGTCTCATCAGCTGTTCCGCACTCTAAACACATGGAAGATTTAATCATCGAGTCATCGAAGTTTCCTGCTGCCCAGCCTCCAGATCCCAACCAGCCCTCTAAGATAGAGACAGAATACTGGCCCTGTCCACCCTCACTAGCTGTTATAGGTAATACACTCATGCTGTCTCAGTTTTTTTTTTTTGTTCTCTTAAAGGAGTAGTTCACTTTTAAAATAAACTTTTGCTGATAATTTACTCACCCCCATGTCATCCAAGATATCCATGTCATTCTTTCTTCAGTCGAAAAGACCCTTACAAAAACTTGATAAGAGTTATTCATTGTCTAAAATCATTTAAATCCCTTTGAACAGTTTGCACTGAAACTGTCTATTGGACCTTGAACCGTTTGGTTCCCATTGAAGTCCATTATATGGAGAAAAATAGTATTTGGTATCGGGACAGTTTTATGACATGGTAGTATTTGTTCATCTACTCGATCACACTCTTCATCCCATATTCCTGTGTTTGTGCAACAGAGACAGAGCGGAGAAAGAATGTAGCATCCAAGACAGCTGAGGGAGAGGAGGGTGAGGAGGATGATAAGTATGATGACAATGATCTGTCTGAAGACATGTGGAGACTTCGGAAAATGCAGAAGCAAGAGCTCAACAAGGTGTAAAATTATCTTGTCAAATTTTCTTATTCAAAGATATACATTGTCTGTTCTTTTTTTAATCCTTTTTAGTCCTGCAGTTTTAGAGTTAAACTATTTCAAATGGCTTATGTCTAATTCTTTTCTTATTTTATTTTTTTAAAATAAAAATATACTTTTGTTCCACAAGTTTGTATTAAATCAATTAAAACAATTCAATTTAAATCAGCGAAACAAAAAGTCAACAAAGGTGACAATAAATTCATTTTTAAGGTTTTATAGAAAATCGATAAAAACTGTTAAAAAAATAAATACATTTATTAAAATGAATACTGTTCTTTTTAACTTTAAATTTTATCAAAGAATCCTGAAAAAAATGAGAACATTTTAATTTTCCACAAAGAACATCCAGAATATAGTTCAACATAGAGAATAATAAGAAGTTAGCGTATTAGAGTAATTTCTGAAGGACTGTGTGACACTGAAGGGTGCTGAAAACTCAGCTTTGCCATCTCAGAAATGCATTCAATTTTTAATTATATTAAAGTAAAAATCATTTCATTTAAATTGTAATAATATTTTATCATATTGCTGTTCATATTTAGCATAAGTATACTGAGCATAAGAGAATTAAAAATATGAAAAAGTCTTACCGACCCCAAAAGTTTGAAAGGTAGTATTGTACATGCAGTCATTATGTCCTATTTGTATATTTAAGAAAATATTTCACGCTACAAACTCGTCAAAAAGGTCATTCAAAATTGAGGGAATTTTTAAAATCAATAGTGACCAGCCACACTACCTAAATACACACCTTATACACTAATTTAACTTTCTTCCCTGTATTAACAGTTCTTCTTAAACCTTATTTTCTTTGGAAACTGAGGATAAAATATTGTTGGGTTGGTTCGTATCTGTAAGATCTTTTGTCTCAGTTGACCTTCAAGTAAAAGCCATAGTTTGGTTTCAGATGAAGGACAAATCTTTAGGGATTCTTGCCTTTCCTGTCGAAACAGAGAGCCATGCTGATCAATTCAGTCTCTCAGCCTATTGTATATTGTCAACAGTATATTGTTTCAGTTTCCATCTCACCCCCCAAACTCCCTCTTCATCTCTCACTCTCTCTCTCTCTGTCACAGATTCAGTCTAATCTAGGAAAATTGATACTAAAGGAGGAGATCGAGAGATCGGCCCCTGTCCACAGGAAAACGCGGTCCCTGCCCGACAGGACACCCGTGCATCTGGGTATATTTTAATGTGTGTGTGTGTGTGTGTGTGTGTGGTCCTTATTTCCCTATCTTTATAGGGACAAAATGTCTCCACAAAGATAGGCAATATCACAAATCCTTGTCCTTGCCGGGATATTTTTTTTTCTCACCATGGGGAAAACAACTTATAAATCACATAAATCATAAGTGATATTTTTGAAAATATAAAAATGCAGAAAGTTGGGTAAGTGAGGAGGTGTAGGGTTAGGGTTAGGGAATAGATTATTGTTTGTACAGTATAAAAATCAGTGTGACAATGTAATAAACCCATAAAATATGAATACCCAGTGTGTGTGTGTGTGTGGTTGTCACAAAACTGACACTTAAAGGGATAGTTCACTTTGAAATTAATTTTTGATATGTTTTAGCTTACATCAGTGATGCGCGGGTTGATCCGAAATGAGCGGGTGCCTGCGGTCACCCGCGGTTACCCGCAGTTACGGGTCATCCAAAAATGTTTTTAATGATATTCGGGTCGCGGTCGGTCGGGTCGTTTGAAAAAAGATGCCAATTAAACATTTGTATTTAGTACTAGACACAATTTTTGATGAAATATACAGCCCTACACATTATTGGCTGAATAACTGGCACGAAGATAACACACAAGCTCAGTCTAAACAGTTCTCGGTTCTTTAGGTGATTGGAGAACCGCTGTCCCTGTGCGTTCGGTAGTACGCAGTATCTATGCGCAGTATCAGCTGCTCGTGCTCATCACTTCTCTCAACAGTGGCACCAACATGTCTCGGTTCAGTGAACTGTTGGAGTTACTGGAGTAAAATATAATTCAGGATATTGATTTATTTCGATTCGTAGGCGACTGTCAGGCATGTCTGAAAGTGAGTAACTTTAGTAACTTGTAGATCAGCACCAGGGCCGGCACTAGCCATTTGGGTGCCCTAAGCACAAATGCTTGGTGGTGCCCCCCATACCCCCCACCCCACCCCCCCAACCACCCATACCCATGTATTTTAGCATTGACCCTGCATTCAGAAATACAAGACAAAATATTCATGGATTCTACTGAATCATTAACCATCATACAAAAATATTGCACACATTAGTCTTTTATATAATATAGGCCTATGTGTCACTGGAACATTTAAAACTCAAAACTCTATTCTACCTTTAAAAGAGGTCTGATGAGGCACAATATAATAATTCTGTACATAATTTGTAGGGCTGGGAAAAGATTAATTGTGATTAATCGCATCCAAAATAAATGTTTGTGTCTACATTAATGATATAGGCCTATGTGTGTGTACTGTGTATACTTATTTTGTATATATATATATATATAAATGCACATTTGCATGTATGTATTTAAGAAATATTTGTTATTTATATATAAAATATTTTAATTTATATATAATATAAATTATCTATAAATATATACAGTATATACATGCAAATATTTCTTAAATATATATGTGCATATGTGTGTATATTACAAAATAATTATACACAGTACACTCACAGATCATGTAGAAACTTTTATTTTGGGTGTGATTAAGCTTTTCCCAGCCCTAATAATCTAATCTAATAATAATTCTAATTGCAGTTTCACCAACAGATGTCGCCCTTGGGCCTTTGACCGCATTATCCGCATAGAACAACAACGAAAAAACGTATCTAAGCGGTCTTCCTTTTCTTCTCAAACAAACTAACTGCATCTTAAACAGCCCAAGTTGAAAAATTCCCCCGGACCCCCGTTAAAATAAAAGATTCTACATGCTGAGCAAAGCCCTGGATCATTTGCACAACTACTAGCGACGCCCCCCTGGACATGCATACACGAAGCAAGGGCGCCTACAAAACTAACACTTTTATTTAAAACATTGTCTTAACTGCAAGCGAGTATTATCCCGCTGTCTCTTCTTTTCCCCTTTTCCCCCCGACTCTTGGTGCCTTTTCGAGGCCATGTCTGATGTCGATCAGGTGTCTGCCAAATTTGACACTGATTGAGGAACAGACCACTGCAAGGTGGGGAAGGGGGGGCACCAGAGGGAGACTGGCACAGGAGATTCACCTTTTTCTCCAATTTGGTCTAGCCTATGCATATTGCTTTTGTATTGCTTTTGTATATTAACATGCTTTAGACATATTTTATTTGTTATTTATACTAGTAGCCTATTGTGATGATTTTTCACGACCCAGATTTTTTGGTGCCCCCCCAAGCACTTGGTGCCCTACGCGCAGTGCGTGATGTGCGTGTGCGGAGCGCCGGCCCTGATCAGCACTGACACAAGACGCGAACTGTTTCGAACGATTCAGTTCGAGTGTACTGGTTCGATCGGTTCACTAAAAAGAACCGGTTCAAAAGAACGATTCGTTCACGAACCGGCCATGTCTATGATCGCTACAGTCTGCAGAGAGATGGAGGCGGCAAGAGAAAAGGTGATGACTGGGGAGTGGAAGCTCCGCAAATACACAAATAGAAAGAGTAAAAGTGTGGGAGACATTTGCTGAAATAATGAAAGATGATGACCAAAGTGCTGGCTTTGCCTTTGTTATGTGTAGGCCTACGTCTTCTTGCGATGCCGTGTTGTTACACGTCTATGGCCCAATAACGCTCCGATGAGCATTTAAAAAAATGCGGTCAGGAAGCGGGTCGGGTACAATGTTTTTTTTTTTTTACTTTTTTTGCGGTCCGAGTTGCGGGCGGGTAGCTGAAAACGTCGGTCGGTTGCGGGTTGTTTATACATTGACCCGCGCATCACTGGCTTACATCAAGGGCATCCAAGATGTAGGTGTCTTTGTTTCCACAGCATTTTCAATTTCTTCATTTTTCGGTCAAACCGTTGTTGTCTGTCAGTCCTATAATGCCGTTTTAGGGGGTCCACCTCAAAGAGCATGCACAGAGAAGTCAAAATTAAACATGATTTAATGACTCGTAATTGTAAGTACACACTGATGGCCTAAGACACGAAACGAGCGGTTTTTGTGAGAAAACGAACAGTATTTATATAGTTTTTACCTCTTGTTAACAGCCGTCGAACTGATCTGAATCAAATGTCCAACTGAACCGAACTGAACCGTCTCCAGGCGTTACGTCGAAAGTGATCTCTCTATGTCTATGTCTATGTCACGCATTGTTTACACAGAGATTTCGGAAGTTTTACCTTTCACTGTTTCGTGAAAGGTAAAACTTCCGAAATCTCCGTCTAAACAATGCGTGACGTAGACGGCTGTTAACAAGAGGTAAAAACTATATAAATACTGTTCGTTTACACAGAGTTTACATTGTTTACACAGAGATTTCGGAAGTTTTACCTTTCATTTAGTGAAACAATGCGTGACATAGACGCGAGAGATCACTTCCGGTGTAACGTCTGGGGACAGTTCAGTTAGGTTCAATTGGACATCTGATTCAGATCAGTTCGACCGGCTGTTAACAAGAGGTAAAAACTATATAAATACTGTTCGTTTTCTCACACAAACCGCTCGTTTCATGTCTTAGGCCATCAGTGTGTACTTACATGTACGAGTCATTAAATCATGTTTAATTTTGACTTCTCTGTGCATGCTCTTTGAGGTGGACCCACTAAAACTGCATTATAGGACTGACAGACAACAACGGTTTGACCAAAAAATGTCTAAATTGAAAATGCTGTGGAAACAAAGACACCTACATCTTGGATGCCCTTGAGGTTAGCTAAAACATATCAAAAATAAATTTCAAAGTGAACTATTTTTTTTTTTTTTTTTTTTTATTATTATTTATTTCAGGCAATGGCACAAAAGTACAAGGCAGACAAAATGTTTGTTAAGTCATACAGTGCAAAAAGAAACAAGAAACAAACAAAAAAACAACAACAAAAAACAAACAAAAAAAAAACAACAAAAACAACAACAAACAAAACAAATCGAATTCTACCTGAAAGGGAGTGGGAAGAAGAAAACTTATTTAATCCCACCCCAGTTCACCACTTGGTAATTAATACATTAAGCTTCATGTTTACTTTGGTCACGGATTGTTTACATAGGTTGTATCATGGTGGCGTTACCACAGTCACAATAATTTATTATAACAACATTATCAAACAGTTTAAGAAGAATAAACAATACCAACTATGGTAATGAACAATATACCAATGATGGTAATGGACAATATACCAACGATGGTAATGGACAATATACCAACGATGGTAAGGAAACATTGAGCACATGTTAACATTATAAGACAGAGTACAACATCAATATAAATTAAAAATCCTCCTCTCTGTATTTTAACCAGACCCTATGTTTATATGACAATTTAAATTGATGGATACTTAAACTATCCCTTTAAGGAAGAACAATGATACGTAGAAATAAGCAGCATTATTAACAGCAGCTGTTGTATCCATTCTAGACGACATCTGAGTCAGTCTTTTCACCTGCAGTCAGAGCTTATGGACGACAAACGAATGATCTGAATCAGATTAGAATTTATAGGTCTCTATGGAAAAGGTCAGAGTCTAGAGAACTCTTTTCGAACAATTTCATTATTGCATTACACTCTGAATTCTGTCACTGAAAATGGTTGTGATTCCAGTTTAAAAGGTTGACCTTGTAGTGACCTCTTCTGGTTGAAGAAATGTACTGCATCCAATACTTTTTATATGATGAGTATTTGGATGCTATTTGTGCCAGTACATTAACATGTTTCTTTTCTTTTACACAGCATCCAAATCCCCCTCATTTCCTTCCTACACTAAGACTGGCCTTTCTAGGGTGAGAAATTAAAATCTGATTTGATATGTCAGATTTTATCAACTACCATTAAGGTGCCATCCTTAATTACACTGATATAATTGTCTTGTGTTTATGTGTTACAGCTGCAGTCTGCTGAATTCTCCTCTTCAAACAGTGATAAAGGGAGTCTAAGTAAGTTTCTATTCTATTCTTTTGTAAGAGTAAATTTATTTTGTCTTTTTTGTCATGTTTATTTACACTTCAAGAGGCATAATTCTATTTTATCCTATCCTATAATATTATGTTATATAATAAATTATTGAGCAATCTTGAGTGCCAGAATTTAGACTTATATTTTTATTACTGTTTCAAATAGCGGGGCATTTTTCCGAGTATTACAAGCACTGGTTTCTATATTTTTTACTATTATTTATTTATTTTATTACATATTATTATTTTAATATTATAATTTATACAATATCTTATATTAAGAGTCATCATTTTATTCTGTTTTAAATAGTAGAATAATTTTTATCATGTTTATTTACACTTTAATTAGAGTGCATGGAGTCATTATTCGTATCTATCCTATTGTATTATATTCTGCTTTGTTGTAATCTATTCTGTTTTTTTTTAAAGAAATAGAAATAAAACTGAATTGAATAGGACAGAAGGTTGTCATGTTTTTATACCTCTTGCTCATTGTATTATAATTTCTCTCTCTCTCTCTCTCTCTCTCTCTCTCTCTCTCTCTCTTTCTCTCTCTCTCTCTCTCTGTACAGATTTCCAGGTATGTAACAATTTGCATTATAATAAAGTATAACCAAATAAATGTATATTCTTAACAGCTAAAACAGACCAAATTGCAGGTTAAGTAAAACAAGGAAAACGTTTCGATTACGTATACACCCTTGTTCCTTGAAGTGAACAAAACGCTGCTTGAAACGCTGTGGGAACGCCCCTTGCGTTGTGCGTCATGAAGCACGTGTGGAATCAATCCAATGGCGAGACGGAATGTCATAGGTGGGTGACTTCATCGACCAGGAAACTATAAAGCACCCCAAAATCACAGCCACGACAGCTTCTGAAAGGTGCGAAGCAAGTCGATCACGGGAATGAGCGTCACGTGGGTATAAGCGTTCCCACAGCGTTTCACGCAGCGCCTCGTTGCCTTCAGGGAACTAGGGTTACATACGTAACCGAGACGTTCCCTTTCAGGAACTCAAACTGCGTGAAACTGTGGGAACGCTTATACCCACGTCGCCATTAAAGCAAGTGACGGACTGTGTGAATTAAGAGACACATCCAGCCAAGAGCACCTGCGCCCCAGGAGTGGAGCCGAGATCTAGGTTATAAAACCTGACGAAAGTAAGCGGTGAGGACCAGCCTGCTGTGTAACAAACATCATGGAGAGAAAATCCTAATAATAAGGCTTTGGAAGATGCCATACTCCTAGTAGAATGACCTCGAACAGCCAAAGGCGAAGGCTGACCTCTGGAAAATTTTGAGCAGCAGACACAGCGCCCTGTAACGGAGCACTGGCAGGGAACAACTGGTCTGACTGCTCTATACCCCTCCTTGAACAGGGCAAGCATCCCTCGGGAAAGCGTTCATATATATATATATATACGACGTGCTTCATGACGTACAACGCAAGGGGCAATTCCCACAGCGTTTCACGCAGCTCGAGTTCCTGAAAGGGAACTGCAAAAACAAGCTGTTCATTTTAAATTGACAATTGCATTATCAACATTTCTGATATTTTTAAAGATTTTAGTAGTCAAGCTTTGCAATCTTCAGTTTCAGCAGAATTTTTATTTTTTTAATTTTACAATCAGATTTTTGTTATAATTGCACAAATTACAGTTGTGGTTATGATAGGCTTACAGTGGTCTTCTCTCTTTTATAGAATGGAGATGCCCAAAGCAGAAGGATAGACAGAGGGAATTCACTCCCTAGTATGCTAGAACATAAGGTATAAATGCCAACTAATCTAAAGTGTTTGGTATTCATCAAAGCTGTACATATTGTTGCTAAATTACCGCTTTATCAAGGTCAAAGTTCATTAATTATGTGTTTGCACTATGTGTTCGTTTGGCAGATTTACCCACTTGAGATGCTCATTGTGACCCACAGAGGCAGAAACAAACTCCCACCTGGTGTAGACAGGACAAGACTGGAGGTAAAAATAGTTTTTGCTCATTATTTCATAGTTCTGTTGGGAACAAAGGTTGACCATTGAACCTCTCTCTCCAGAGGCACCTGTCAACTGAGGAATTCCAGAATGTCTTTGGAATGTCCATTGAGGAATTTGACCGGCTCTCCCTTTGGAAGAGGAATGACCTGAAAAAGAAAGTCTCTCTCTTCTAATAGTAGAGAACTGCGTTCTTTTACAAACACTGTCACACATCTGCACTTCCACTTGTGAAAACAGTACAAGCGATGTAAGTTAAGGAAAGATGAGGAATGTGATATAAGGAATGTGATTATGGAGCCAGCAAAAAAATATCAGTTATCCTTATCGTTTGATAAGTCTATATCTGATTCCAGCTAATAATCATGTCTGAGTCATTGATGTTGCCTCTTTTTCTAGTTGCAGCTACTGTCAGGACTTCAGTGAGGTTACTCTCTGTGTGCTTTATAAAGCTGAAATGATACACACAGACATGAAAGCTAGCAGTGCACATGAAGCCGATATGAATCGCACTAGTTATTTGAGTAGACAAAATTCAGAAGTTCAGATGGACCAGCAGGAACCTGTGAGTTTCATTCACTATAAAGTCACTGCCACACTTTTCAGCCTTTTTGTGCTAAACATGAATTACCAAACCTTTAGAATATGGGTCAGTGACATAACATTCATTTTGCCCCCCAAATCTATTCATTAATTAAAATACATAAAAATGTGATTCATACATGCAGTGACTTCAACACTCCTCTTCTATGATGAGCATGTTTTTTGGGGAGCATACAGTAAAAATGTCAGGGTTATCCAACTGTACCGATATAATGAAAACAGATGAAAAGAATGACTTAACATGAAAACCTGAAGTATTTTTGCATAATCTTTTATTATTTATTAGAAACATATCCAATATTTTAACAAAACTGCTTTACTGTCTAAAAAAACAGGTTGATATGGTTCTTAAAATTTTAGATAATTTAACCTTTGAATGATGCGGTAAGGTTAGTTCAGGTTGTAAAATGTCATGAAGACTTCCCAAAATCGTCATTATATTTATGAATGAATAAATCATGGGGCCTAATTCGTAATATTTGTTAGAAATATTTACATTACAAAAAATGTACATTAAACATTTTTAAAAGCCGTATATAAAAACATGTATGAACCATAAAACCATTTACCATACCATTTATTATACTTTATAGTCTTATTTGTCATTGACCCATATTTTTTTTAAGTGTCTGGATATTTGAATTAAGCAAAGCAGCTATATTGTTGATAGTTTGGAAATTAGTACAATTTATACTAGGGACTATAGATGCACATATTGCACACCCTCATTTTTTACATCTTAACACAAAAAATATTATACCTTAATACCAGTGCAAATACCAGCGGTACGATACACACATATAGCAACAATTCCAATGGCAACAGCGGATGATACAGAGTGAAAGTTTGCTGTTCCAAAGAGAGCTACTGTACATTAGTGAGAGTTTTCTAAATATTGGATATGAGACGTATGAATCCTGCATGGCAAATGTATCCTGCTTTTCTTCAATGATGATGCATTGTGAATTGTGAGTGTGATTAATACTTCTCCTCTTCCGAAAGATGTATTGATTGCAAAGTTTCACTCGCTCCCTCTATTCTTACATCTTTTTTCACTCCCTCTTCCCCATTTTGCTGCTATTGCCTTGCAAAGCACCTTTACTGTTTTGGTTCTATCCTCTTTTGTTCTTTTTGGTTGGAATTTTTTTATTCTTTTTTTTTTTTTTTACAGTGCTTCTGTTTTATTGGACAAGGATAGGTTAGGAAATAAAGGGATTTCATATACATTAACACCTGATGGTTGCTGCTTGCCTGATGGTTTGATTTTGCAACCCTGGTTTTTGCTTTGTTACAGTATTTAACTGGCTCCCTTTCAGTTCATGAGTGTGAATTTGAATTGGTCACGACTCACATGCAATTTTAAAAAAATCAACACATTCACTCAGCAGAGATGTTTTTTATTAGTCCACATTTTGCAACAAAGTATACATAATTATGTTAATGAATTAACTATACAGTATTAATTATAATTATATGGAAGAGTTCAACAAATCTAAAAATCTGAATGGGACAGATCCCTGTAGTTCATATATTCTTCTTTCCCACGTCTAATGACATATTATGTGTTGATCTCTGAGCACATGAAATTACTATGCTTTTAGTACTCCAATGACCAAATGAAGTGCTTAGATATAGTGCATGCTTTTTGCCTAGTTTGTACCTACTGAATGGAAATGTAATAAGAGCAAAACAATCACTAAAAAGCAACACATATCAACTTGAGAATTTAGAAGTACAAAAATAGACTTTCCACATTCAGTTTTTTAGAAGCATTGCTCAAAAGGAAATATGTGAGAGCTATTCTTAGCTTTTTGCCTATAACAAACCAATGGTATTATGATAACGTATTTTATGTGAACACAATCTGATACCCGATTTACACTTCACAATACTCAATAATAATGAAATTGTGCTACTTATCAATCTTTTTTTATTTATTTGGGTTTTTTTTGTGAAAGACTTTTTGCTTGGAATATTTTGCAGTAAGGCACTCATACTTAATCCTAAAGCACTTGATTCACTCATATACCGGTACACTTAAAAGGTTGAATGTTTTCACAGTGAGAAAATAAGCTCTTTTTAACCACATATAGGCCTACATGCATCTGACAATTTTCATGTGAAAAATGTCCCAAATATTAACATAATATTGATCTTTCTCTACTACTTCATGAATAGTGGTTTTCTTCTTTTCCTTTTTTTTATGTGAAAGTGTGATGAATGAAATAATAAAATGGATTTAGTAAAGTGAGTGTACATTGTAGTGACTTCTTCAGTTGTAGCCTATTGTTGTTTTATTATTTTGATTTGTAAGTGGCTTACTAATGATTTTAACAGATCATTTGAATTAATATTCAGTTCAATAAAGCTTATGATTTTAACAACATTTTGTGTCTGGTTTTTGGCAGTAATCTTAGCATTTGTTTGGATGCTAAATTGTTTTGGATGTGAAGAAACGTAAAGTTTTGGGACTGGGAGCGAACCTAATGTTTCTCTTTATAAATGAAATTAACAATTACTTCCTCGCGTAGATAAATCATTTACTATTCACTATCACTAGTAGCCAACTGTTATTTGTTATTTTGTAATTCCCACTATTGTGCGCATTGAAAGCGTAGGTGGCGCTGTTGAGCTACGGTTCATTAGCGGATTTCAGGCGCACAGCTGAAGGCGGAGAGTTCAGTGAAAGAGATGTGGAGTGGATGTTGGTAATGTAGCTGCTTATTCCGACAGTTTTGATGTTATCTTCGTTTGACTGTCGCCTAACCCGCAATTCTTCCTTTATTCACTTCGAAATTGCACTTAAATTTACTTTGACTTCGTTTACACATCCAGTAAGAGACTCAGCGATGAACTCTGGACGCGACCGAGAACATTTCACTTGAACGCTTTGATCATTTCCAACGATGGACAAGCAAAAAGGTATTTCACTGTTTTCACATTAGTCTGTAGTGTGTGTGAGAGTCTTGAGTGCTGTAACTGTGAAAGCTTCACATATCATTGATTCAGACATGTATTTTCCATGTGAAACAACGTTTTTTGGTGTTACTGTAACTTGGGAGTCAGTGGCAGTGTCACGGCATTTGAGATATCGAGCAAGATCCTAAGTTGCTTGTCCGTTGATAATACCAGCTGGTAATATTCAATAATTATGTAATTAGAAATTAATAGTTTCTGTCTAAGACCTCTTATCAGGTTAAGTCACCCTTAAGGCTATAACGTTAGCTCTTTTTATCATACAGATTGTTTCAAAGCAGCTTTACAGTAATAACAGGAAAATTATGCAACAAAGTTTGTTTTGGCTGTACAGCAGATGTAGAAGAAAAAAGTGTCATTGTCCAACTTAAGTAAGTTTGGTGTTGATTAATTTTTTTTTTTTTGTAAAAGTAATTTGTTATTAATTAAGATAATTTATCTATAAAGCAACTAGTCTCACAAGTCAGCATCAGAAGTCACAAGTATGTCCAGTATTACAGTATTGTCTAGTAAGGTATTACCTTTTAATGCAGTTAATTTTTTTTATACAAAGTGTCTTAATGAATTAAAGTGCCAAAATGTCTTGGTTAAATAAATCAGTCCCACTGGGATTCAAACCAACAACCTTTTTTTCACTACTATCCGCAAACCTACACCAGTGTAAGAAAACATACATTTCAGCTCTTTCAAATCTCAGAGAGGTGTTGAATTTTTAATAGTTGATTTCTTGTAATTGCAGTTAGTGCTGTTGTAGTCGTGCAGATTTGATTATTGTTCTGGAATGTCAGTAATAATCCTACAGCTTCCCCCATCAGTCACACCGCCATGAATGAAATCTCAGGAGAGGAGTGAGTTTCTTGGTTTGTTTAAGTAAAGGTCAGAGAGCTGTGCTAATTTCACCAGCAGCGGTGTAAAGTCTGACAGGACCAAATGAGCTTCTCCACCTCCTTTTGTGCTCCTTTTTGTTTCTGAAAAAAAGAGATTACTGTTAAGTTTCAATGCACTTTTTCATTAGTGAAAATTTTTGGCTGGAGTTGGAATATATATAATAATAATAATAATAATCTAAAATAAATATTGAAAAATTACAGATGTTTCTGATATAAAATTAATTAACTTGGTACATTTTGCAATAATTTTAATGTCAATTTATTTGTTGTATGAGAGCTTAAGACAGATTTAAATGTCAGTTATAAGAACAGTGTTTATTATAAAATATTAATATTGTGAATTGCCATTTAAAATAACTGTTAAGTATATTTTAAGTTCCTGTAATTCTGAATTGTCCGCAGCCATTATAGCCAAAACAAATCTTGCTGACCCCAAAGTTTGAATAGTAGTGCATGTAAATATTACTGCTTATTATTTTGACGCAAAAGCTTTGATTTTAAAAAGATTTCTGCTTTTTTGGTTAAACACCCTTTTAAAAACAAATATATAATGATACATCTCATTTAGCCTGGTCATGTATTTTTTTTCCAACAAGCCTTTTTCCTCTTCCCTGTTCTGTCACTATCGGTCAAAACAAGAATGTGACCTCACACACACACACACACACAGGCGTAATTTACTGTTAGGAAATGTTCCAACTCATGACCACTTTTTGCCAAAAATCGATTTTGTCCCTACCATTTTGTTTTTTTAAATCCACTGAAAAACAGTTTGGAAGGATTACAACGCAAAGGAAAATCCCAATCTGACATGTAACAATGTAATACATGCAACACAAAATACATAGATCAGGCCAGTCTGGTGTTCGCCCCGAAATGTATTTTGTGTTACATGTCACATATCGGGATTTATAAACAATGAACACAAGAACAGTTTCTGACCGGTTCAGGAGCAGACACCGGCTCAGGAACAGACGCTGGCTTGTATGCGGCTATCTTGTCCAAAGTCTTTGGATCTGCAGACGTGACGTTAAGTGTTTCTGGATCAGCAGAACTGATGTGAAGAAGCACTGGCTTGGTAGGTTGCATGTGTGGAGCTAGTAGGGCGAGACACTGGGGCGGTGCTGGCAGGGCGAGGCACTGGGGTGGTGCCGGCTAACACAGTCTCATCCCAAATCGTCATATAACTGACGTTTTGGGACGTATTTTGACCATACGTCAATATCCGCCTTTTTAGGGCCCCCTTAAACGTCGGTAGATGGCGATCCCGGGCCGTCATACAACTGACGCTTTACCTTTAACGTCAGTTAGGTGACGGGTTAGGTTTAGGGTTAAGTTTAGGTATGGGGTAGAGTTAGGATCCCATAACCTCATCTACCGACGTTTAAGGGGGCCCTAAAAAGGCGAATATTGACGTATGGTCAAAAGACGTCCCAAAACGTCAGTTATATGACGATTTGGGATGAGACCGGGTTGTGCCGGCAGGCCAAGATGCTGGAGCGGCGTCGGAAGGCCGAGGTGCTGGAGTGGTGCCAGCAAAGCAAGTAGTATGGAAATGACCTCTGAACTGACAGTAGGTTTAGGAACAACTTCCAGACCTCTTCTCCTCCGAGAGCGAGAGAGTGCTGCAGTCTCCTCAGCTACCACTGGAGTCGTGGCTGAGAGAGTGGACAGATCTGGGGCAACTGAAATCAGGACCTCCCGGACCACCGGACTTAAGACCCCCGAAGTAGAGTCCTCCCGGACCACTGGTCTTGGGACCCCCTAAGTCAAGTCCTCCTGGACCACTGGGCTTGGGACCCCCTAAGTCAAGTCCTCCCGGATCACTGGTCTTGGGACCCCATAAGTCAAGTCCTCCCAGACCACTGGGCTTGGGACCCCATAAGTCAAGTCCTCCTGGACCACCGGACTTGGGACCCTGAAGTCGAGTCCTCCCGGACCACCGAAGTCGGGTCCTCCCGGACCACCAGGCTTGGGACCACCCGGACGATAGCGGGCTGCTCCGAGACTGCCTTCGGGACGAGAGCTGGCTGTTCAGGTACAGACTCTGGGACATTAGCAGGCTGCTAGAAGACGGCCTTCATGACGACAGCTGGCTGCTCAGGGACAGATTCCAGGACTTGAGGGACTGTGGATGCCTTCTTCCTCCTCTCTCTCCCTGTTTCTGATGGCGAAGTGGTGCTATCGAGCCCACCACCTCTAGGGGCGCCATCGTCATTTGTACGGCCATCTTGTCAGGAGAGACGGACATCGCTGGTGCTGCTCATTGGCTCCAATGAGGTAAGTAACTGGTAAAACCCCAAAAGTCCAGGATCTCCAGGCGCTTCATCACCCATCGAGGGACAAGATCAAAGCAACAATTAAAAAGATCCCTGAGTGTAGCATTGTTAGAACTCAAGCCTGCCGAGAGAGTAAAAAATGCCTAAAACACGCAGTCCACCATCTGGCCCTACATCTGGAGCTGGTGGCCCTGCAGATGACTATCCACGATACATATTAGGTGTGTTCGACATCGCCTGCGGCTGGATGCAACCGATCGGCGAGATTAGCCGCGTGCAGGCGGGGAGGAGCTGCAAACGGAGACGTGAAGTCGGACACTTTCTGGTTCCCGTAGTGACCGCTTACGTGGTGTTTGCATGCTTATACCACAGCTGAAGTGAAATAAATGCAACATTTGCCAAATAAACAGATATTTCAGACACATTTTCATTCAATACTTTACTGCTTCATACAGCATCTGTTTGAACTAGAATAAAGTTTATAATCAATGACGTGGAATCAACGTTTTTTAATCAGTTTTATTTTGATAAACATGATAAACATGACACAATATAACATTGCGACTACATGAAAAGAGTGTTTACTGTTATAAAATACTGATTTGTGAGCTTTAGTGGAACTAAAGGTGTGAGAATAAACACGAAATGCACGTGATCGTTGTCATGCGGTGAATCCGGCGAATCGTGGAACAGCTGTGTGACATCATCAGAGCTCGTGCAGCCGCTCTTGAGAAGCTGCGCTGGCTGAGTCCTCCGGCTACTCTTGTGTCGCTCTCGCGGTACTTTGATGGCATATGTCACAGTCACGTGGAGTCAGCGCTGCATCAAGTCGGACAAAATTTCTAACCGGCATGCACTGTTTCAAGTCAGCCGCCGATCGGTCTGCGCAGAGCTGCATGAAGTCGAACAAGCCTATTGTCACTATCCACGTTACGTATTGTTGCATTTTTGTATTGCGATATATTGTGGCAGGATATATTGCTGCACCTCTAATTTAGATCTACCTATGCTGTATTTATATAAAGCGTTCACAGACTAATTTGCTTAATGTATTTACCTGGTGTCAAAATCAGACACATAAATCTCAGGAAACAAGATTCTTGGCTGCATGTCAATATTCATGGACCACTGGGTCTTTGCTAAGTTGTAAGGAACACTATATGTGACGCTATATAGTAATATAACACTAAATTTCACTTCACTTTTGCATTTCGGGAAGGCGCCACCATATTTGAAGGATACATCCGTTATCCGTTTCCATGGTTACTTCTACAGTGAGACCTAGAGATATTTTATTTATTTTTTTGCATTTTTGCCACTATTTCTCTTAGTCTCACTGTCGAAATAACCATGGCAGCGGATAGTGTATTCTTCCAAGATGGCGGCGCCTTCCCGACGCAAAGTGAAAACATTGTGACGTAACTCCTGATTCTCTATATCGAATCCAATCTTTAGTTTAAATGATAATCATTCATTTTACTCATGTTTTCTCAGTTTCACTTTTGTCTCACTTTTGCCACTCAGTCCAGCTGAGGTGGATGTTCTGGCGGGAAAGTGACATCAATGCATTCCGTCTATTTTGAGACACTGCTTATGTTTTATTGGGATAAAAAAAAAGAAATGGGGCGATTTTTGCCAGTATTGGGTGGTTGCGTACACAGACTGCAGACACACATTTTTATTCAAACACCTCGTAAAAGTGAATTTTGCATTTGGACACTATTTGAGGTGACTGCCATTGGTAGTGTTGTCCGCAGTGTTGGGAGTAACGCATTAC